CATCAGGTGACGAAAGTACTGGAGTTTCAGCTTCAGCATCAGTCCTTCCAATGAATATTCAGGACTGATTTCCTTTAGAATGGACTGGTTGGGTCTCCTTGCTATCCAAAGGACTCTCAAGAATCTTCTCCGACACCATAGTTCAAAAGGATNATTACTTGGGGCCCCTGGATCAGAGGCCCTCAATATGAGGGTTAGGAGAATATGCTGCCTCAACAGTTTAGGGACAGTGCCCCATCACAGCAGGAAGTAGATATGGAATGAAAACAATGCCCCTTTCCCTTGGCAACATGATTCTGCTAAAAGAAAAGAGGGGGATGAGAGAGTCAATTCCTAGGCAGGTTGATAAACAGTTTGGGGTCTCCAAGGAGAGAGGGGCCTGGTGTTCTCGAGGAGGAGATAGGAGTCTGGAACTCTCAAGAGGGAAGAAAGGAAACAGTTTTTTTCCCTCTACATTCCTTAGTCTTAGTCACATGAAACATTTTTTTCTTTAAGCCCAGGACTGATGATTACACAACAAACAGCTCAGTTTAAACCCTGTACTAGGGATTAAACAACAGTGTATCCTGCTTGAGGGCAGTTTCTCCTTCCTGAAAACCTTCTGACTAATCCTGATATCTTAAAAGGTATATTATGGGAGTGGGTCTAGTAGGATCTTTCTAGTGTTAAGTTCTAATCCTGTTATCCTAAATGTAAATTGTGTGAGTGGGTCTGGTAAAATTCTCACAAACTTGAGACATTCTTTTCATTTATTGTAATAATTCATTAAAAAGTATATTACTCCCTTGCTAACACTAGTGAGGGGGCTATTTCTCCATCCCCCTTCTGTTGTGTATGTCAGGAGATTCCTCTGTCCCTTTTCACTTTAATAAAACTCTGCTACACAAAAGCTCTTGTGTGATCAAGCCTGGTCCCTTGTCCCTGGTCCCTGGTCCCTGGTCCCTGGTCCCAAAGTTAAATCTTCTTCTTTGGAGATCACGAATCCAACACTCTTCAGGGTAGGCCATCATCTTGGGGGCTCGTCCGGGATCCTCAGGACAAGGTACAAACACTCGGAGTTCTGGCCTCTCTGATATCTCAGGATGCACGCTTTCTGCTGTACTGGCTCTTTGGAGTGCTTGTGTGCATGAATGACACGCCCTGAATGGAGCAGGTGATGAGCCCTGCTCTGTGGTTTTGTGGTGCCTCGTAAAGACTGAAGGCAGCCCCCAAAAGGGGGACCTTGTCAGGAGTTTATACTCACCTGCCAAAGCCAAGAGACACCTAAGGTCCCTCCTGCGAGGGGAGCGACCAGAAATGGGAGAAGCGTGTGGACTGAACTTTCGTTTCTTGGTCAGCTTTTCCTGGTCTCTTTGATCATTCCATAATTGCATGGGGAATTAGAACTACTAGCCTAATCTGTCGGATCATAGACTTTCAATGGACTTATGATTCATGCCATTACTATGAACTATTACTTGGACTCCCAGCTTGGTAGTCATGGAAACCCGGACTTGTTGGGAGCGTGTTTAGGAACTAGGTGGAACTAGTGAGTCCTTGTCGTAGCTGTGACTCCAAACTACAAGGACGGAAGAGCTCCTAGAGAGCATGAGGTTTCTAAAAAGATAGGTCAGGAATCCCAGTTTGGGAGTATTGGGCTTCTTCCTTTTGTAGTTATGTAGCTCTTAGCGGACTAGATAACACTCTCCAGTGGCTTACTGATGGGGCAATGATTCATCGCTTCTACAGAGGTCAGGACTGTACTCAGGAATGTGAACGGGCACACTTCCCCTAGTAGTACTAGCTTTGGAAACATTCCAGGAAACCACTCAGGCAAATCAAACAAAGGTCATGGTGGTATGAAACTAGAAATCAATTCAGATCCCATCAAGTCTACCCCTGGTACATCTCCACCCCTCCTCGGTGGTAGAACTGGGAGGGACCAGTATGGTGCCTGCGTCTGTAAGGAGCAGACTAAGTTCGACCAGGGAAGGGGAGCTTCGGTGGAGAGTCTGTCTACAATCCCATCTAGAGCAGGGAAGGATGCCTCCAGCGGAAGGAAGCAAAGGTGCTGGTCACTGTTTTTTTCTCTTTAACAGATGGGAGCTACTCAAAGTTCCAGACTCACACCCTTGGATTTTGTCCTGAAAAACTGGGATATATTTGATCCTCAGAATTTAAAAAGGACATGCCTGATCTTCTTCTGAGACACTCAATGGCCACAATATCCTTTGGAAGACGGGGAACAATGGCCTGTTAAAGGGTCTCTCAATTATGACACTGTTTTACAACTAGACTGGTTCTGTAGAAAACAAGAAAAATGGACAGAAGTGCCGCATGTGTTGCTCTTTATCTCTCTGTGAGACATGCCAAACTTATGTCCTAGGGATGCAGATTTGGATGTGAAACCTTCAGCTGCCTCCTATTCTCTTACTTTGCCCCTGTATCCAGGGCTCCCTCCCCACTGAACAAGCTGAGAGTCAGGGCACCCTTCCAGGAGGGGTTGCCTCGGTCTCAGTAGAATTTCCAACAGTCCCAATTGTGGTCAAGACTATTTAGAGGATCCAAAAAGTACATAGAAGACTTTACGGGACTAATTTTACTTTATGAGCTTTCTTGGAGAGATGCAAAGTATGTCTTGGGACAGACACTGACTTCTGACTTGAGAATTCAAGTTTTGGGGAAATCTACTGCTTTTGGAGATGAATGGCTTGAGGAAACACGAAATAATCCTGCTTCCTACTGGGAGCCAAGTGGTTCCAATAACAGAACCACTTTGCTGGATGTATTCTTGAAGGAAGCAAGCTTAAGGAAGCAAGCTTAAGCAAGCTCACGCTGAGACTTTGAATTATGCCAAGTTGGCTTAGATAGAACAATGAGAGAAGGAAATTCCTGGTAAATTCCTAGGGAGACTACAGAAGGCCCTCCACAAGTTTACTGATGTTGACCTTGAAAGTGCAGAGAAGGAATAACCTTAAAAGATAGATCTCTCACTTGGCTCCAGATATTTGCTGCAAGTTATGAAAACAGGCGTTTGGGCCAGGTCAGTCTTTAAAAAACTGCTACAGCTAGCTCAGATGGTATATTACAGTAGAGAATATGAGGGGGAAAAACAGTGACAGAAAAGAACCAATGAAAAGGCCCAGGTTCTAGTGACAGCTGTGAAAACTGCTACAAATCAGCCTGAAGAGAAAAATGCCCAGAGGAACCCTGATGAAAAGGGATGGGCTTGTTATCACTGTGGAAAGGAGTGGCATCTCAAGTGAAGTTGCCCTCAGGAATCTAAGCCGTGCCGGCTAAGAGGGATGGGATGGAGAGCGAGGTGGGAGGGGGCATCAGGATGGGGAACACATGTAAATCCATGGCTGATTCATGTCAATGTATGGCAAAAAACCACTACAACATTGTAAAGTAATTAGCCTCCAACTAATAAAAATAAATGAAAAAAAATTACAAGAAAATTCATGGCTGCAGTCACCATCAGCAGTGATTGTCACTGTTTCCACTGTTTTCTATCTATTTGCCATGAAGTGATGGGACCAGATGCCATGATCTTCGTTTTTTGAATGTTGAGTTTTAAGCCAGCTTTTTCACTCTTTTCTTTCACTTTCATCAAGAGACTCTTTAGTTCCTCTTTGCCTTCTGCCATAAGGGTGGTGTCTGCATATCTGAGGTTTTTGGTATTATTCCCTGATATCTTGGCTCCAACTTGTGCTTCACCCAGCCTGGTGTTTCGCATGATGTACTCTGTGTATAAGTTAAATAAGCAAGGTGACACTATACAGCTTTGATGTACTGCTTTCCCAATTTGGAGGCAGTCCATTGTTCTATGTCCAGTTTTAACTGTTGCTTTGTGTGTGTGTGTGAATGGAAGTCAAGTGTATTTGAACAAAAGCTCCAACAAGCAAATTTGTCTCAGCAGAAGGCAGAGATCTGTGCTGACTTCAGTACAGACACTGATACAGTATAGCTAGTATTGGCTACTTTGCACCTAGTAGCAGATCACCCTTTCCATGGCTTAGCACATTTACAGAAAACTGTTCACCATGGAAGGACTTCACAGATGACCTCTGAGTGTGTGGCTCGGTCATTGACATCCCCAGCACTACTTCCATAGTCCCAGGTGGCATCGCTGTCAGCCAGACTCCACTGCCTAGAGAATGGCTCCAGCATCACCGCATCCCAGAGGCAGCTGGCTTCTCCATCATTGCCATGCCCATGGTCGCTCCTCCCTGCAGTAGGAGGAGCTCAGTCTCAGGGCCCACTCTTAACCAAAACCCTGGGAGCTGTGGTTTCCCAACACAAGCATTACCTCAAAGTGCCATTTTCTAAACACAGAGATTCCTCTAGATAAGCCTATAAGCTAAGAGTAATCAAGGAGAAATATGCCTAAAGCTTGACCTGGTTAGTGTATATGAAATAAAGCACACTTTGTAAATCGAGTCCTTACAAAGGAAAGACTTAGATCCTGGCCAAGTCAGGGTAAACCTACCTGGAGAGACTGTCCCGTTTCTGCAGAGGTGGGCAGAGTACTTGGGACATGAAGCCTGCACGTGCTCTTGGTGCAAGCCTGGGAAACTGGAAGGACCCAGCCACTGCTGGCAGGTGCAGCAGCAGAAACTTGTCTGTCAACACCAGCCTGGCCCTTCTGCCCTGACCTCACAGTGCAGCTTCCTTCCTCACTGAGGAAGGAAGAAAAAGTAAGCTGCACTGTGAGCATTTATTCCCTCTCCCTGGTCTCAGGCCCAGGATTGCAAGGGAGGCAGGAGTTTGAGTTTAACTTATAAAACTAACCTTTCCCTTTTGCCCCCTTGTTTGTTTTTTGTTGTTGTTGTTGTTTTGCTTTTTTGATTGTTTGTTTTTTCCGAAGAATCAGGAGTGTTTTCTCAGTTGCTCTTTCAAGGCCTTCTTGCTTTCTTGTTACAGGATCCATAAAGCCTAGAATATAGAGGAGTTCAAGTCAAGATTTGCCACTAAGCTGTAAAAGGTCCTGGGGTAAGGCACAGACGCCAGCAGGTGAGCTACAAAGTGTCCATGCAGGACGATGAGAAAAGGCTTGCCAGTTGTTGTTTTACAAGCTCTTTGCAACCATTCCACTGCGTAATACCAACCTGTGCCTTCTTCAGCAGGTCAGGTATAGGAATACAGCTGTCTGGCATGAGTCTCTCCAGCTTGAAGGTGGTGATGACCAAGGCCAGCATGGAACCCTTGAGCTGCAGCAGCTGATGGCCCACCACACACAGCTGCAGCTGGCTAGTCAGAGATTCTACATAGAGGGGAGGATCCCTTTGAGGCCTCAGCTCCTTCATGTGGGGCCAGTGCAGGACCACTGGGGTGTGCAATATGGACAGAAAGTCCAGCAGCATCCTGATGTGAAGTTCCCCATGCAGTTTGTCTGAAACAGCCAGCTCCATCCTGAGCAGTTCATGTGGGGACAAGCCAGAGCCATTGTGCTTTATGAAGTCTTTTATGTGTGGAATCAACTCCTTTCTTCATTAACTTCTGTGGCAAGTCTCAAGGAAGAAATTGTGACAACGGAGTAAATGCTTCTTTATCTTTACTGAAACCACAAGGAGGCTGAAGACAGTGAGAGCCCAGTGAAAAGTGATACACCCACCACATTAACAGATTGAAAGATAAAAGCTATATGATTATCTCAATAGATGCAGAAAAAGCCTTTGACAAAATTCAACATCCATTTGTGATTAAAAGAAAAAAAAAAAACCCCTTCAGAAAGCAGGGATAGAAGGAACATACCTCAACATAGTAAAAGCCATATATGATAAACCCATACCGAACATTATCCTCAATGGTGAAAAACTGAAAGCATTTCCCCTAAAGTCAGGAACAAGACAAGGGTGCCCACTCTCACCACTACTATTCAACATAGTTTTGGAAGTGTTGGCCACAGTGATCAGAGCAGAAAAAGAAATAAAAGGAATCCAGATTGGAAAAGAAGAAGTAAAACTCTCACTGTTTGCAGATGACATGATCCCCTACATAGAAAACCCTAAAGACAGCGCCAG